TTGTGGCCCTTCCAGTATCCTAATGCATGGATACAAATCCCCTCAATGCACTGACCTACCAAAAACCACAGACTTGATGGTGTAATAAACGAATTGATTTTTTAAAGAAAAAGTTTATGTCACGAGATTTAGTAATTTAGTAGACTTGGATGTCCCAGAACCGTTAAAACATTTCTTGATGACCAGAGCCTGGCAGCTGATCTTTCTTCTGGCCTAGCTATAACACCTCCGTGGAAGGAAAACTGGCTGGTCATATTCAGTCCCTCGAAATTCTAGTGATTGTTCCATCACCACCGAGCGTCGGATCCTGAATTTTCGACTATCGCAATGAACGGGAGTTCTCTTCGGAAGAACCCCGCACACACACACACCGTGCCTTGAACGCCTATTGAGACTAAAGTTCAACACAAACCTCAGACGGAACTCGTATATACGACACATCACTAAAGATGCTTGAAAAAATTAATCGGTTCTCTGACCCCACCCGCGATCCTCCATCTTCACAAGAACCAAATCAGACATAAAATGGGGTGTTGCTCTCATATATGAGCAGGAACTGCCCAGCCTTCACTTTCCAGTCTGGATAGTGTCCAAAAGTGCTTACGCGTCCTTATGGGTGATGAACTATTTTCCACCCTACAATTTTTCGTCAACAGATGAAATGTTGCTAGCCTCTCGCTGCTCTATCACGATTTCTATGGAAAGTGTTCCTTCGACGACACCGAACGACGCCTGTGGCGGCGATTCTTTAGCTCCACCAGTTCTAACTTTCACGGTTAAGATCCACCAGGCCACGCCCATTGTAACGAACAAACCTCATTTCTTTCGTATTACATTGGTGAGATGTAAATTCCACTCGAACCGCGGCTTTGTGGAACAGACTCCCAAGAGGATCACTCCAATCCGAACCTGCTCAAGTTGAGAGTTATCTACCTTTATTGTTGGGGGAATAAATAATTATAAACCTCCTAAAGTTTATTTATACAAAAATACTCATAAGGAGGCACGGTGGAGTAATTGATAGAATCGGAGAGCCGAGTTCGAATTCCAGTCGGATCTTTTACATTCACTTACGTGCTAATAACCTTGGGAAAGGTATGACTCTTCTTCTTCTTCTCTCCCACCCCACCTATGGGTAAATAGCAGGACAGACTGGGTTCTATAACCTTGGATGGCAACCGGTCTAGAAAAAGGAAAAACTCAAAACCGGCCAAGAGACGGTTGGGCTCCATCAGGCTAGCTTACCCCAGAAACACCACTTCCACTGTGGGTGTAGTACACACGGTGCCTCTACGAACCTACGGGTCATGGGATAAAAAAAAAAACTCATAAAAATTAGAAACAGCAAAATGTGGAAACGAGTATTATTTATGATCTAGTTGTTAGAGAAACGAGAGACAGTAAGACTGAGTAAAATTCTGGGTTTGGGGTCAAATAGTGATCAAATATGACAGAAGCATAAGATATGGATTAAACTAAGTGTATACAATGTTTCTCGTATATTTTTTTATAGATGTGTGTAATGAGTGTCCAGATAAACTGTGCCCCTTACCTCTTACTCTGTAACCATTTACCTCTAGTGGCTCTTGGGGCTTATACAAGGTGAACATTCTTGTGAAAAAAAACCCAAAGAAAACATTAAATTATCAATAAAAATCGAAGTAGAAAGAATAATGTAATATCTTCCAAACATTATAAACTCGAAATATACATGGAAAATTTAACGGTATTCTTATTTGAATTTTCTGAAGAATCATGATTCTTAAGTTAATGATTGAATAAACTCTTTGAGAGTTCTACGACCGTAAAATACACGTGGAATTTCCCCTATCGCATCATTAAACATTTGAGCTTAACATCTCTAACTAAATATTGCATTAACAGGCATTAGTATGAATGGAGGTCAATATTTCAAGAAGAGGGTAAAAAATGAAAAGATTTGAAATTGGCATTGTTTTCCATTTCACTGAAGCAGACGTTAAACACATGACAGCGTTATCATCTCTTCCCTCTCTTCCTTTTCCCTTCTTTCTTTCTATCAGTCAGTTATGTGCCATGCGTGATAGACGCTGACGAGGCAGATTTTTCCCGCAGTAGGTTATCATTTCTTTCTGCGGTAGACCAGTTGCCATTCAAGGCCATAGAACCCGGTCTATCCTGCTATTTATCTATAACTGGGGTGGGGGAAGAAGAGGATTGCATACCTTTCCCAAGGGTATTAGCAAGTAAGTGAATGTAATGGATTCGACTGGAATTCGAACTCGGCTCTCCGATTCCCCAATCCGAGCCGCTATCCATTACTCTATAATGAGACCAAACAGCGTCTCTGACATGTCTCTTCCGACTTTCGTCTCGATCAAAACAGAATAGTCCATTATCTGTAAGGGAGTGGCATAGTACGTGATAAATAATGAAATAACTCTGGGACAAGCACAAATATAATTTGGCGATAAAGAAATAAAAAAAAAAAAAAAAAAACCACACACACACGTACTGTTTTAGTGAATAAAAATCAACCTGATAGTGTCAAGTGTAATTAATCATGTCTGGAATTCATACAAATATCTCCAATGAAAGAATAAAAAAATACCCAAAAGTGAAAGTAATGTTTACAAACGCAAAGTGTAAGAGTGAAAGTCTAAAATGGATGCCACGCAAGACGTTATTCGTTCAAGAAAGTAATATCAGTATCATTACGAAAAATACACAGACAGCAAATAAATGTATACGGCCCGAAATGAAACGAAAAGGTTATTTTCTGTGACGTATAATGAGGCTTAGAAAAATAGACACACATATGATACAAGAAAGGTAAAAGGACAGCGTGAAACCATGAGTCACTAACTTAATGGAAGGAAGAACAAGGAGCGGATGAGATAATAAAAAGACAAAAACTACTAAGAGCTACAAAAGATAGGATGTTGTGTAAAGCTATGATCATCAATGTCCCACAAGGACCCGGCACAAAGAATAATAATAATAATAATAATAATAATAATAATAATAATAATAATCTAAATAACAATGTCAATTTTGACCTGGATAATGGCGGTAGTATAATATACTGGCTTATATTCAGACAAGTTCTTCAAAGTCTTTGATCAAAGTTTTGAAAATCGTAGCATTCATATAAATGCTAAGTCAGACCTTTAGATAGTGACACATGATAAAATAATGTTCAGTGTGATGAAAGAATCCAGTGCAATCAGGTGTCATGGCAACAGAGATGCACACGAGCTCTTTTTTTTTTTGTCCATTACAGGCGTTTGAAAGGGAACGGATGGTGGGCTTCAAGAATCTGTATTGCCATTTTGGAGAATTCCTACGCGTGTTGGCAACAGGACAAATAAATATTTCTCCACCCGTAGACTATGTTCTGGATGGCCACGTACTACAGATGTATGCCAGGAGATTCCACTGAAAGCAGGACTACGAGAACGCGTGTCTATAGACTTTCACTTCCGCCATAACACCGTCTCAGGAAGGTCACCTAGATTCTTTGCCTATACAATCTAATTCTGGAGTGGGACATCATCCAGAATGTATTTGCTGACGAAACACAGGCTCAACTCCTAGAGCCTGAAGACGCAGGGTGCCGCCATAAATTAAAACTCCCGCTCGCTTTTGCTGTTAGACGGAACAATGAAGAAAGCCTTGTATATCAAGAATATTGTTTAAGCTGTTCTGTTATCGTTCTTTCATTGAATGATAATTCCCTTTCACATGCAAGATTTTCAGCAACTTATATGGCCAGCACGATCGGTAGACGTGTGTATAGGAAATTATGAGATTACGTCTGACACTTTCAGTTAGTCCAACTACAACTTTTACTGTATTGCCTTAGATACAAGAGGCATGAAATAATGTATTGCCGGATAGTAATCACATCTGGAGTTAGTAACCACTAAATTGCAGAAACACTACAGTTTACTTACAAACACGGAATGGGCTCACTTAAACTTCTTTCTTTTTGCTTCTATTCTCTTCTTCCCTTTCTTTCTCTTCTATTCTAACCTTCGTTCTTTTCTCATTTTTCTCTACTATTCTCATCTTTTCTTTCTATACTTTCTCTTCTATTCTCTCCTTCTTTCTTTTCTCTTCTTTTTCTTTTCTCTTTCCTCTCTCCTCCTTCTCTTCTATTCCCACCTTCTTTCCATTCTCCGCTTTTTTCTAAACATTCCTTTATTTTTTTTCCCTTTCTATTATTTCCTTTCTCTTCTTTCTCTAATATTCTCACCTTCGTTCCTTTCTCCTCTTTCCCTTCTATTCTCATATTCATTCTTTTCTCTTCTTTCTCTTCTTTCCTTTCGCTTCTTTCCTTTCTCTTCGTTTCCTCCTTTTCTTTTCTTCCTCTTCTATTCTCATATTCTTCCCCCACCTCTCTCTCTCCTCTTTCTCTTCTATTCACACCTTTTCCCTTCCAGCTTCTGGTTCCCTTTACTTTTTATCTCTCTTTCTTTTCTCTCTCAGCTTCTCTTTTCTCTTGTCCTCATCTTCTTTTATTGAGTGCGATAACTTGAAGAATACAGAAATAGAACCCACGTGATTTGCAGAATGATAGTTTGAACAAAGCTGAACTGAGAAAAATGAATTTTCAAGGGAGATAACTGCTAAAGGATGCTAACAGAGTACTAACTCTTAATTATTTATTTGATATGAATAAAAAAATTTCTGGTCCAAACGACTGTTTGACTTTTGCATATTATAAATAAAAGTTACGAGGGAACGAATTCAATAATAATCTTTTTTTCCATCATAAGGATAACGAAGGATAACCTCAGATCACAGGGTTCTCTGCGTATTATGACAATCCTGATGTTCTATGATTTGACTTTAGTTTGCGTTTAAATTGGCTTTTGTTTTACTTATCAAATGAAAAATTATACATTTGACTAAAGAATTGTTACTAGTCTTTGATCTTGGAAATAAATTACGGAAAATAGGATTTCCAGGACGCCCACCCCAAAAAATCTGAAAAGCGAGACTGGCGCCTCTAAAATATGCAGATAGTAATCGACTTATACATCGATTGTTCCGACGTAAAGAATCGGTGTAACTGCCTCAGGAAATGAATTTTCATTGTTGATATCTTTACTTTAGTGTCGTCACTACCTGAGGCGAAATGGTTCAGGTAAACATCACCTGAGAATCAATCAACATCGATTTCTCAAAGTTCTTCTTCCCGACTTATTTCATCCAATCCAATTCACACTTCACTTTCTTTCCCGCATTTTTTTTTGTTTCTTTATCACGTTTGAACAATGGCTTAACTTTCCTTTTCTTTCTCAATTTCTTTCTCTTCTCCTCTTTCTCTTCTCGCCTTCTTTATTTTTTTCTTTCTCTTCTCGCCTTAATTTCTTCTTTCTCTTCTCGTTTTCTCTCCTTTCTCTTCTATTCTCACCTTCTTTCCTTTCCATTCTATTTTCACTGCTCTCTCCTCTTTCTATTCTATACTCACCTTCTTTCATTTTTCTTCTTTCTTTTCTATTTCAACTTCTCTCTTCTTTTACTTTTCTATACTCTTCTTTTTTTCCTTTCTCCTTCTTGTCTCTCTCTTTCTCTTCCTCTTCTATTCTCTTCTTTTTCCTTTCAGCCTCTGGTTTTTTTATCACTTTTCTTTTGCTCTCTGTCTTTTCTCTCTTAGCTTCTATTTTCTCTTGTCCTCATCTTCCTTTCCAACTTTCCTTTCTCATATTTGCCTTCCTCTTTCTTCCCGTCTTAGTCTCCTCTTTTTCACCTTATTTCCTTCCTTTTCCTTTCTTCCTCTTCTTCCCTACGTTCACATCCCTCTTTCTTTCTCCTCTCCTTTTCACCATTTTTCTTTACCTTTCTGTCTTCTTTTTCCTGACTACTTTTCCATTTTCTCTCTTCTCTTTATTTTTCTCTTCTTTTTCTCCTCTTCTTCCTTTTCTCCTCTTCTTCTTTTTCTCCTCTTCCACTTGTTTCTCACCCTTCTTTTCAGCCTTCTACATGTTTCCCTTTCTTTTTCCTCCTCCTCCTCCTCTCTCTCCCTCTTTTAGTCTTAGCCTCATTTTCCTACCTTTCCGTTTTGTTTTCCTTTCTTTCTAACTCTTCATCTTACCACTACATTCCTCTTCGTTTCTATCTTTTTTTCCTCTTCTCTTTCCCAAGTATGTGTCTTTTTTTCTCTAATTTTCTTCTTTTTTTTTGTTCTTCTTTCTCTATATTCACCCTTGCCTTCTTTCTCTGATTTACTTTCTTTCCTTCCCGTTTCTCTCATTTCTCTTTATTTGTTCCTCTTCTGTCGTTTGTTTTTCGTTCCTTTACACCCAATTATTTCCTGTTATACACTGGCAATAACGTGAGCATCTAGCGTCCCTAAAACTCTTCACTCTACGTCAAATCAGATTCAAATTTTCTGGTTCTCCCAGGTTCATTTATTACATCTTGCCAAGTGTAAAAGGTCAGTTATCGAAGTAAGCTTCTACAATCGATTCAAAGATATCAGCTTTACTAACAGCGTCTGGTCTTTCATTGTTTTTATTCAAATATTTGTTTTATCCAATCGCAAATCTTCTTACATTCAACTGAATCAGTCTCCTCACAATGAGATTTCTTTTCAACGATCATTTAAGTCTTTCCTATATTTTGTATCCGTTTCTCTAATTTCGTGACCAACTCGTACAAATAATTACGTCTGTATGAGAATTTTTCTCCCGTTTCGCCATTTTTCTATTGTATTTGCATCTTCATAAATGGAAAGTTACAATTATGAAGAAAAGATATCTTTAGGCATTCCATATTCTTTCATTCAATTTCACATTGATTTCCTGTTCTTTTTCCTTTACATTCTGCTCTCGAGAATCATTTAAAAAAATAATTATACCCATTATTCTTGTGTCTTTCTGCCAGCAAGGTCACTGTGTGTTGTCGGGCAAAACAGCACCCTTAAACATCAATACGCGTTAACCTCTTTTGATTCATATAAACAGGCGCGTTTTTTTAAGTAAAAGACTCAACTGACTTAAATTTTAAATGTTCATAGTGTAATATAAACGCTTTTTTTCGAAATTCTATGCTTTAATACACACACACACACACACACATATATATATATATATATATATATATATATATATATATATATATATATATATATATATATATATATATATATACAGGGAATACAGGGACCTGGTGCACTACGTGCCACAGGGTCTCCAAACGACCCTCCATAGGTTTTGAATTCAGAGTTTTCCTTTTATCCATGGCTATAGAAGCCAATCTGTCCTGCTATTTACCCATAGCTGGAGGGAGAAGAAGAGGATTAATACCAAGGGTATTAGCACGTGAATGTAATGGAATCGACTGGAATTCGAACCATGCCGATTCCTCAATCCGAGCCGCTATCCACTACTCTACCATACCTATCAGCATAGAAATGCCGAAAAAGCGTTTATCTATACAAATGGGGTATTTTTGAATTTCTCTTATATGCAATTTATTTATTTATATATACTCTGTTATAATAAATACATTGAGCTCTATTTGTGGATCAGTTTTAATATTTTATATTGTTAGGATTCACTTCGATTATTTACCTACGGATTTTTACCTACATATATATATATATATATATATATGTGTGTGTGTGTGTGTGTGTGTGTGTGTGTGTGTGTGTGTGTGTGTGTGTGTGTGTGTGTGTCACACCACAAACTCGCTTTCACGACGCTTGACACTACATTTGAATGATAACTCTAACATTTTTAGGCATTTAAAGCAACATGCCTGGCTGCATACACAATTCCAGAAAATCCTCGTTGAAAACACAACTATACTTAAACATGAAAACAATAAACAAAAAAAAAAACATACTTGAAAGTATATACATAAAACAGTTGAAACCTAACCTGAACAAAATAAACTATGAAATCTCCACAAATATTCTTAAATACCTATAATTGGTAACAGAAGCAATTGGTTTATACCAACGGCTTCCCGTAGTTAATACTTCTCGTTTTCACTCTCGCGTGGTCATGTGTGACGTCATGAGCTGCGGTGCGATTTTCGCTTCCAGCGTCTTATATGCACGTGTTTTTCGTTGCTTAGAAATCATCGATGTAAACAGAAACAGACTATCATCACATTCTTGTCCGTGTATTGCTTAATATATTGTACTGTAATTGTCATCTTTGATAATGGCTTATGTAAGCCGAAAGCTTAGATTGGATTAAAAAATATGGATCAATATTGATTTTCCTTCTTCGTTTAATGATAATTTTATTAAGCTTATCAGACGTTATGAAAAGAATTTACATAAAATAAATAGACAACACTTGTCTATATTATTTAATGAAACATGTATGAATATATATATATATAATATTTTCTCTTTATACGTGATTTTTATAGATACAATTAATTTAAGTAAATGCTCTGCTTTTAATTAAACGGTATTAATTACATCTACTGAAATGTTCGAGAAATTTCGTAGAAAATATGCCTTGTTTACATTAAGATGCATTACGTGAGCAGATATAAGCGATGGAGAAAATTCGTCGAAGATTGTGTGTTTAAGAACAGTAATTCGGACTTTTGGTAACAAAACGCTTCTCTGTAGCTAATGGTATAGCACGTCAGATCAGGTGACGGTTCCACATAGGACAACAGGTTCTACTCCTGTTGGAGAACACAATGTAAACAAGGCATATTTCTACGAAATTTCTCGAACATTCAGGCTGGTAAAAGTAATTAATAATGTTTAATAAAAAAACAGAGCGTTTACTTTAATAAATTGTATCTATAAAACTAAGGTATAAACAGAAAATATATTAAATAATGTTGGACTTAATCTATATTATTATTATATATATATATATATATTAAACCGTAGGGATGCAGCAAAAGCATATATATATATCTGATGTGGGGCAAAAGTTGGGACCACAGATGTAAAACACGGAACACGGATTAGATGTAAGAAAGATATATTAACAACAGGTTACAGAGATAGTGTAACCGTCTCTCTGTGTCACTCTCTGGAGTGCTATGTCGCCTACTTAATACAGTGCTGGAAGAGTATTGTGTAGGTAGTTTCCGGTCTCACAATAATATATATATATATATATATATATATATATATATATATAATTATTTATTTAAAATTATAACATAACTATTTTATAAAATCACTACAAAAATAGCCATTTTGTTTGAACACCTCCTGTGTCTTATCAAGTGATGATGTTGAATGTAAAATAAATGGTTTTAAAAGTTTCAAATTAATTAACGATCCTTCGCAAGGAGAAAACGCTGTTACAAAAGCTAGAATGACCAATCAAAATACAAGTATAGGAGAATTCAAAAAACTTGACAACGAAGTAAGGTTATAATAACTATTAAGAGCTTTAAAGTTGCGTTTATACTAAAATAGAATTGATTCTAACCAATAAGTATTTAATTATATGGTAAAATTTGATATTAAAATTAAAAGTAAAAAATTACCAATTTTAATATCTAAATTTAATATCTATTAAGTTTAGAATTATAAAATTACTGAGGAGAAAAGAAAAAATACATATGTTATTCAATTTATTTCTTCATTGAAATTACGTTACTAATATCTGCTGGTCTTCCCAACAAAATGTATACTTGTGTATATATATATATATATATATATATATATATATATATATATATATATGGGGGGGGTATTGATGTAATAGGAAAGAACAGTTAGATTAATGATCTTTAATAAAGTTCTTTAATATTTATGTTGTTTATTTAAAAGAAAACAGTGCTCGATACAGAAGTAGAACTTAAATATTAAACTTAAAATTTAGGGTGCAGTTTCATTCTGAAGCGATGTTTAGAATCAAACATCACCTGAAAATGAAACTGCACCCTAAATTTTAAGTTTAATATTGAAATTAAACTTTAGAACTTGAGTCAAGTTTCGAAACATAGTAATGTTTGTGTCATGATGGAATTATATATATATATATATATATATATATATATATATATATATATATATATATATATATATATCAGATTAAAAGTGGGTAATCGAATGTCAAAATTCTTATGAAACATGTCTTGTTCCGAAATATACATTAGACAGTAAACACAGGTTACAAAAAAAACGACCTTTGTTGTATTTCTCTCTCTCTCTCTCTCTCTCTCTCTCTCTCTCTCTCTCTCTCAACTGAAAGAAACAAAGCCTAAACAAAGTTCTCACAAACAAACATTACATTTTTATTTTATATTTCTCCCACTTCAACTTGCCTTTTTTTTTAAATCTCTTTGTTCAAGACAAGCGTTCCTTTGAGACTGAAAAGAAATTTTTTCAGGTTGAATTTTAGAATTGGCTACTTACCGACTTCAAACACCTCCTGCTCGTCCTAGGTAAGACGATAAACTACATCCAGCAGCAAGACCTCTGGTCAGAAGGTTTTGAAGAGCGTGGAACCACCTCTTAATTGCTGGTGTTCCCAGGTCCACCCTGACCCGGGGTGGTAGAATCTGTTAGGGTCCCAGCTATGGGCAAATAGTTAACTATTGCCAGCAATATAATTTTGAAAGAAAAATATTACCAAAAATAGATTTTTGACAAAACAAAATATTACCAGCAATAAAAAAAATGTTGTCGGCATTAAATAACCCACTGAGGTTGATATGCCGTAAAACAAAATAAACCAAACCAATCTAAACCAAACAATACATATTCTATTCATATGTCATCATCTAGACAAAGTTCATTAAAAGAACCGAATGGTAAAACGAAGGGAGCAAAATCAAACAAGAAAGTAGATAGAAAAGAAGTTCAAATGACAAAACAAAACAAAAAACAAAACGCTAATAGTTAGAAGTATATAGAAATAATGGACATTTCACCCATATATAAAAAAAGAAGATTTGGGATATGTAAAATTTTATAATTCATAATACATAATCAAGATGCAAAACTTTATTCAATGGAATTGTAACTGGGGTCAAAACACTATGAAAGTGTAAAAATAGGTTTTAATACCAGAAATACTTTGTAAAAAAATTATTACCAGCAATACATTTTTGAAAACCAAATGTTGCCAGGAATGCATTTTTGAAAAAGAAATATTACCAGCAATATATTTTTGGAAAAAAGGAAAGAAAAATATATATTACAAGCTACACATTCTTTGAAAAAAAGAAAAATATTACCAGCGATACATATTTGAAAGAAAATTATTACCAGAAATGGAATTTTTGAAAAAAAAATATTACCAGGAATAGATTAAAAAAATATATTACCAACAATAAAATTTTTGTCGGCATTAAATAACCCATTGAGGTTGATATGCCGTAAAAAACCAAAACAAACCAAACCAAACCAAACACCTCCTGCTATGTCACTTGAAAGGGACATTGTCAAAAATTGGAAAGACTGTGAGAACTCGTGGGGATAATATGTTATGAATTTAGGGTCAAAATTAAAAGACGCAAATGGTAGAGAATTAGTTGCAGTTACGTTGTGCACTTTGATGAGAAACGACTGCAAAACGATTAGGAATTCGTTATCAACCCTTAGAAGAGAAGATAAAAAAAAATCCCGAAATAATTTTAGTTGACTTTTAAAAGCATTTCTTCCTCAAAGACATGCCTTATGCGAAAGATTTTGTTTTTTTTTGTTTTTTTTTTTTTTTGCATCTCAAAATACGGACGAACCAATTGATGAACATATGCCTTATTTAAGACTACTGGTAGAATTATGTGAGTTAGCGACCTAAAGAACTCCTTCATCTGAGACCGGATAATGAAGCAGATCGAGGCAATGGTAAATAAGTGCCAGATATGTGGAAAGATACGGTCCGTCCCAAAGGGGCCCCTAATGCCACTGTTATGCCCACACAATAATCCATGGACCCGAATTGGCACTGATTTGTTTGAATTAGGAAATAACAAATTCTTTATTATGGTCGACTACTGTAGTCGGTGGTTTGATCTACGACAACTACATGAGACCACTTCAGTAGCAGTGATTCGAGCCATGTCAGAGGCATTTGCAGCTTATGAAATATTTTTTCACCACTTTTTAATCCGCAGAGTCCAACGAAGAAGCTAAAAGAGCGGCGCAAACAGCAAAAAATATCCTACAAATAACAGAATCCTTATGAAGGACTTCATGCATACCGGTCAGCCCCGAGTGAAATACTCATGAGAAGAAATGGTTTACTACATAGACTGGATCAACCATAAAACAGAACAGATATTGTCTTATACACACAGGAGAAAGAGTGGAAGACCAAGTGTCACAAGCTTTCATCTCACATGAACCAGTCGTTTACAACCACTAAAGCTGCATTTCTAAGTGATTCAAAAGAGAAATTCAGTAAAAAAAAAAAAAAAGCAGATGGTGTCTTACTAGTTGGTAACCAACCCCAATAAAATATAAATAAATAAATAAAAGTTATACAATCTTGGGAATGTGTGTTCTATAATATGATGTAAAGACAATGTTGATTGGCTGGCACACAGTCAATACACTATTTGTAAAGATGATTTTGATTGGCTAAGATAAAACCAATACATTTTTTAGATACTTGTAATAAAACGGTAACTGTTGCTCGAACTGCCTACCCGAGTCCCCGTTTTTCTTAGCCGTAATACGACAACCTTGATATACGTGAAATTACATCATTTTATGTATATTAATAGCTGTTATTAGAATTATTATTGAAAGATAAAATATACAAATCTATATATCAGACTAATAGTGAATAAATGAATGACGAAATGGAAAAAAATTGACGTGTTTCCTTTTATGGACTCAACAAGTTTTATATACAAAAAGTGGGATGTTGTGTGTAGAAATACAAACTTACACCGTCTATGCATTTCACGGAAGCATTAATGTGCATGTATGTATGTATATGTGTGTCTGTGCGTGGGAGTGCGCATGTATGTGTGCGTGTTCAAGGTCTACCCCAAATTTTGTAGTTTTTTAAACAACGCGCTAAAAATATGAATTTTCCTTTTTTTTTACTGCAATGCCAACACACGGTCTCCACCATTTCCTTCGAAATGTGTTTTATGGCAAATCGCCTTTCTTTCATGGTCAACATGGAACCTGTCGTAAATAAGAGAGGGACTGCGGTACTCCTTTACGATACCATATTCGTTTACGGCCCATTCTCCGGATTACGACAATCAGCCATATTCGAGAATACCAGGAGTACATGTGATGTGAACCCTGCTTGTATTTTGCCGAATTGGATTAACTTATCTTCCGAGTCTCAGTCTTCATTCTTGACAATTTATTCGGCAAAATATCTTATAACCGCCATGCTGGAGTCTGTATCAAGTTTTGGCTATAAACCAAGAATATTGGATATCGACCAAAATTCAACACACACCACCAGAGAATGGCAACACTGGCGTACTATATTCACCAACTATTTAGACGAATACAAAGACAGAATTCCTAAAAAAAACTACGGGCATTGATAAGCTGTGTAAATCCTACAACTTTCGAATTCATTGAATCCTGCGAAGATATCGAATCAGCACTAAATCGGCTGGACTCAATATACATTAAAAAACCGAATGAAGTCTTTGCCCGCCATCTACTGGCCACACGGAAGCAAAGACAAGATGAATCGATTGATGATTTTTCCAAAGTCTCGATAAATTTTGGCGAGACTGCAACTTCAAGTACAGAACGGCTAAGCAAGTCGGCGATGAAGCTGCGAGAGATGCTTTCATTTGTGGGATAACATCACTAGCAATCCGACAGAGATTACTGGAAAATAAAAACTTGGATCTGCAGACAGCTCACGAACAAGAACACTGTATTTAGCCCAAAAGATTTTGCGTTTCTCTCTCCAATTCAGCTATTGCTTTCATTAACAACAGGAGACCACGTGGCGACTCGACAGGCAGTAATAGTAGTAGTGAAGAAAAAAATAATCAAACCACTGTCTCTGCCACATTCAACCAAAGATATAACAATTCTTGTAAGAAAACTTCCACTACATCTTCGAATAACACCGGTAAGAAAGCTTTGTTTTTTTTCTGTGGTATTATACCTTACCATAAACGATCCATTTGTCCGGTACGTGACGTAATTTGCCATCGCTTTGATAAGCAGGGACATTACCAAAAAATGTGTAGGTCATCAAATACGACAACTAATGCTATGATTCATTCAGCTTGTATTTCTGTAAACACTACTAACGTACCAGTGGTACTTTCCAATGCTGCTACTTTCGTCATGGTTGAAAATAGAACCTTCAATATTCTAATAGATTCTTGTGCTTCTGAAAATTTTATTAGCAAAAAGGTGGTGGATTTATTGTCTCTGAGGATTTTTCCCTTGTCATAAAAAGTAACTATGGCCCAGGAAAGTATTAATAGTCGGTCTAATGGATTTGTAGCAGTCGATTTTAAACTGGGTCTTAACGATAAATTATTTACATCCTTCGTTTGACTATTATGAAGGACCTCTGTTGTGATGTTGTTCTTGGACGGGAATTTCAATCCCGACATCTTAAGGCCACGTTTGAATATGAGGGTTATTTACCGGAACTCGTTGTGAAAGGCACAAGTGCCTGTCTTGCTCTGGAAGCCTCTGATATAGCTGAACCAACTTTGTTCCCAGGGATTTCAGCTAAATGCAAACCGATTGCTACTAAAGACGTTTTGGTAAAGAGGACTCTGATTTTATTGCTGTGGAAATTAGCAAACTTCTGGAACATAGGATTATTGAACCCAGTATTTCATCGTGGTGTGCACAATTCGTAGTGGTCAAGGATGAAGCTAAAATACACAAAAAACGATTATGTGTGGACTATTCCCAAACTATAAATATCTACACAGAAATAGACGCTTTTCCATTACCAAGAATTTCCGATCTGGTTGTCAGGTATAAGTACTTTTCAACTTTCGATCTAAAAGGTGCCTACCATCAAATCAAGCTCAAACAATCTGACAGGAAATATACTGCTTTTGAAGCAAATGGCCGACTTTTTCAGTTTACCCGTCTCCCATTTGGGGTAACTAATGGTGTCCCTGCTTTCCAACGTGCTATGAAGGAAATTGTAAAAGAAGAAAATCTGACTGATACATTTCCCTATCTTGATAATGTGATAATTGGGGATGAAACTGAAGAGGAACATGATAACAATGAATATGATAACAATTTTATGAGGGTAGTGAGGAAAAACACTTGATTTTGAACAATTCCAAAA